CGTGATGTGACTTTTTTAACTTGGTTCTCAGGCTTGAACTGGTCATGGGAATACCACTTGGACACTGACGAGACATCTTTCATCAGAATATAAATTGGTCTTATGGTGATTTGATGCTTCTTTCGAAGTTCCCATTCAGGCACGTCCTCATCTTCTTGTGCATCACCTTCTTCATGAGGCACTCGTTGTTCATGTATCAGCTGTGCTTATTGAGAAGACTGTGGCATCTCATCATGCACTTGCTTGGTACGAGCTGGAGAAGGCACATGCTCGCTAGGAGGCGGGGAAGAATGTGGCATCTCAGGAATGTGGTGGTCGCAAGAAAACTTGGATCTAATTTGCTTCATAAGTAGCTCAAGCACCATAGAAGAGAGAGAAAAATAAAACTCTAATTACTCAATAAGCAACCATTAAAACTTCAAAAAAAAATTGTGGAATAGCATTTTCTTACCTTCTACAACCTCTCCACCAAAGGATTTGAGACCAAAACATTTCCCCCTTAGTAGAGCAATCTTTGGGAGGTGCCCAAGGCCTTTCCACCTTTCTTTCACGGGTTGGAGCGAGTGACCCGAGAAAAAAGAAGGTGCTGTAGTTTTTTTTTTATATGTGGGTTATTTGTAGGGGCGGCTGGTGATTGAGCCGTCCCTACAAATAGCAGGATCTTTATACGCGGAGCATTTGTAGGGGCAGTTCAATCACCAGCCGCCTCTACAAATACCAACACCGGGGGCGGCTGGTGAGTGAGCCGCCCCTACAAATCAGACCCATTTGCACCACCCCTGCTGTTCCATTTGTAGGGGCGGCTGGTCTCTGGGCTCTCGATCACGTCATTGTAGAAGTGGCTCCATCACCAGTCGTCCTTACAAAAAAGTTTATCCTGTTGCTATAAACTATTTTTCACGTAGTGTCGGTGACCTCCCGGAACATGACCACCACGGGAGAGGGCAGCCGTCACTTGGCGATGAGGCGTGGTGTAGCGACATGGCGGTGGCTTAATTAGCGTGGTCAGCGATGGCTTCAAGGACGTGGACCATGCATCGTAGTGCAAGCAGGCTCCATCGCTGCCGCTCGTCGCCGCCCGTTGCGAAATCCTTGCATGCAGCGCTTCGGCGACCATTACCAGACGGTCGGGAGCATGCAGCAACAAAGCAGGTTAGAATAGTCGGCATCGAGGACGTCGACTAGCGCCGAGATATTTGCGATTTGATAGATGGGAAAGAAATATTGTATTGTCAGAAAAAAAAAGATCTGCAGGGCTATCAGTTTGGACCATATTATCCAACACCCACATGCCTCATGACATGCCTACTAAATCAAAATCCAGGTTCGGTTGCAGCAGACGTTGCCCAAACGGGCCACTGCTGCAATGTGCCTGCGCCGGCCGGACAATGATCATGTCCGACGGCAGTGATGGCTCTACGTTCGTGCGCAATACCGAGATGACGACCCACCCCGTCGAGCACCTCAATCACGGTTTCACTGCTTTGGCTTTCGTTACGAGGAGATCATGTTATATATGTATATATCTATATTAATAAGAACCGAAATTTCTCTCTGAATTTTCGTCTTTTACTCTCTCTCTCTCTCTCTAGTCTTTCTGTCCCTCCACTTTATTTAATTTATATCCCTGCAAGACGCTGCGGCTGCGGCTTATGCTGCAAAATAAAACTAGCCTGCCACTGTTACTTGAGTTGGAGCAGCCGCAGCCGCAGCCGCCGCGGCTGTGGCTGTTCCAAACAAGCGAAAAATCGAGCATAAGATCATGTCCGAGTTTTATTAGGAGTAATAACATGTGATGAATTAGAGATAAGAATCCTCTTTGATTCACTGTCCACTTTCGTGACCCGAATTGTATCGAAGCATAGTAGAAAGTCTTATGCCAAGACGTATTGAAATAGACGACACAAGTTATACATTCTGTTGCAACACGCATAGTCATATATGCTTCACATGTACACCTATATTTTATCTATACTTCTATATTTTTATTTAGTATTAAAGACCCAAAATTCTCCCCCATTTTTTGTCGGTCTTTTCCTAGCCAATTCTGTGAATGTGAAAATTATGTGCTTTGTAATGGGAGGAAAAAAACTATCAAGATTGTATTATAAATTTAATACGGACATAATGGGACATTGTTGTATTATTATTGCCAACACTAGCTTATATTATGGATGTCATGATCACAATAAAGTAAATTAAAACTTTTATGTTTTATAGAAAAGGTAAAATATAAATAGATATGCAGTTATGTACCATTCCTGTATTCATTTTTCATGAATTTTTATAGTCTTTTTTCTCCCGTTGCAACGCACGGGCAAATTTGCTAGTCTATACCTAAGAGCCAAAATTTCATCTAATTTTTTTCGTCCACCTTCCCCTAACTATTCGGATAGTGGAGAGTTTCTTCTATTCCACTTTTTATACTTCACCCAGACTTATGGTCTATACTTATACGAGTTAGAATAACTCGTGTCTAGTGATGATGGATACATGGTCTGATTCTTCATATCTCGTATGTGACCTGGGCTCATCATCCACACTCATACAAGTTAGAACAGCTTATGTCTAGCGATGATACGGAGTCCAATTCCTATACGTATTGTGTTTCATTGCAATGCACTGGCATGTTTGCTAGTAAAAGATAAAAAAAAACACCTTCAAACCCACTCCAAACTAGGGCAGAGAGGTAATCTGAATGGTTTTAAAAGTTTAGGAGTAAAATTCTGATTTTAGAGTTAAGAGTTTAAGAAGAAAAATTAGGCTAAGGCTATAATTCTGAGATAGAATGAACTTTTCCCTACTAACATCTGCAGCATTTGCACATGCCACAGCCCACAAGGGTGGGGGGTGGCAAGGCACCAGACGAGGATGAGGTTGGAGGTCGGAGGCCTCTACGGCTACGGGCTACCGCTACCACAACTCATCACCGGATGCACTAACCAACCGGCCACCATAACCAGGACGAGTTGTCATTGTGAAGCCATCAAACTCTCATGTGCGCAACCATCAAAAGATCCTTATTTTCAAACAAAACCGATGCTAGCAAGGAGTGCTGGCCTGCACCGCATTATAAATTCTCAGCAAGTTTTCAACATTTCAAAAAACTACCACTATGTTGACTAAGGCACCAAAAACTACAACTTTTGGGGTCCATTTAAGAAGCATACAACTATTTTGACACATCACGATCACGTTGAAAAAATAAGTAAATAAAACTATATTTTTTCTCTTGCTAAAATTATGATCGAAGTAGTAGGTTGTTGACCAAGTTGTAGTTTCTTGCAACAAGATGTCAAATATTGCATGTTTCTGAAAGGGCCCGAAATTACTCTTTTTCAGACATTTATGAGATGGAAGCATACTAAGAATATGCGGGGTCAAGCCGAGAGAGAGTCACAACTATACCGCCGGCCTGTACACACGCCTCCTACCAAAATCTTATGTACCCAACTTTGCTCTAAGAATGAAGCAATATCTGCCCTCGAAGCACCCTTATACCCAACCGAAATAGAAAACAACCATCGCCCGAGGGCAAAGAAGAAAAATCTTGAGAAAAACCATCGCTATGCGTGCTGCTACAGATGACAGTGTCGGTAGGAGTGGGCATTCAGTTTTAACCAATAGTTCGGTTTGGTTTTTCGGTACTTCAAAAGTTCGGTTTTTAGGAAACAACAGCCGATCGGTTTATTTTAGAATCGAAAACTGACAGGTTTGGTTTTGGTTTTTTGGTTTAAACGGAAAGAACAGAATATGCTCCATGAGAGCACATGCGCTTTGCTCAACCTTGAGCCTCAGCGACCCTGCGTGGCCACCGACACCAACCACGCTGCTCCTGCCACCGCCTCTTGCTGACATGAGGCCTGAGGTCTAGGAACGCCTTCCGGCACGCTGGCACCATTCTCCTCCTTCTCGATGCTTGTCCGCGCCGTCCAACAATAGTCGTGCCGCCCCAGGGCCCCGGCAAGTGGCACGCACCAGCTCGCACACGCTGGCACGCCTCCGGAAGCCGCTCCCCTCGTTGCCTATAGCTACAGCCTCACATGGATCTAGACGCGGCGGCACGCCCTCAGCCCCTCACTCCTCTACTCCGCCGCCGTCGCCAGCCACGAGGGTTAGGGTTTGGAGATAGAGAACGAGTGGAGACTGGGAGGGGGAGATGTCGAGTTGGCCAGTTAGGGGGAGAGGCGTGTGGGGACTGGGGACGGAGCCCAGCTAGTGGGTTGGCTAGCTAGGCCAAGGCACAAGGTGGTGCGGTCAGATTCTTTGATGTGCTGGTGGAGTCAGCCCCTCGGGAGCCAGGAGAGATCCAGCAGATCGCTGGAAGTTGAGTTGGAACGGTTTATCAATTCTCATTGGCGTAGAAACTGATCACCGAGACAACAAAAATCAAAGCCGAACCAAAAAAATGATACTTCTGTTCGGTTTTGGTTCAGTTAGGTTATTTGTTTTCGGTCTGTAGCAGTAGAACTGATGGACATGGCACATTGAATGACAACTATGAGGTTTCCCCCTAACAGTATAAATTCTTTATCCTCCCTTTTTTGGCCGCTCCTCTCATATGGAGGCTTCACCATGAGGCCAGAACAACTACTCCCTCCACACGCTACCGCAGGCCGGCCCCGAGCTCCCTACCGCCACACGCCCGACAGCGCGGCTCGTCGGCCCACGCGCTCTTCAGCGCCTGCGCCTGCCCGCACGCGCCCGCTTGCGCGGTCCTTGACTACGTGTGCGCTCACGCCCGCCCGCTCGCGAGTGCCCGCACCTGACCGCAGGGGAATGTAGATCCCCATTTGTGAAAGTTCTGCTCACAAGCAGCCCGCTGGCTGCTCGGATCCACCGGCCCCTGCCCCCTGTGAACTTCGTCGATGCTACCCAATGGCTCGGCAGAGGCACTTCTTATTGGATTCCTTGTCGCCACCCTCAGCCACTTCCTCTGAGCCTAACTGTCGTTGGTGTGCTCTTGACTAGTGAGGTGTGCCTCGCCTCTTGCTTCGTCGATGGCTCATATGGACCCCTCCCCTGGTGCTCTCTTGGAGCTGGAGCATGACCCTGCTCTTGCTGAGCTTGTGAGGGATTGGGACTTCTCCCGTGGTAAGAAGTTTGAAGCTGAGGTGTTTCACGAGCTTTCTTCCTCTGCGCACCATCCCTCATCTTCGCCGAATGGTTCCTTCTTCTTGCTCGTGGTTTTCCAAAGATTCCTATTTCGTCTCACTGAGGATTCAGTCGCCATGGCTCTTCACTACTGCCTTGGAGGCACACCTGCTGGTTTTCATGTGACTTTTATGAAAGATCGTCACTTCCCATTCTCAGTTGCCACTAAACAGGTTGGTCTGCTAGTTCGAGCTCTTAAGAGAATCACTTCTAAACACTTTGACATATACTTCCATATTTGGCACGATGGAGGCGCCAACTGGGAACTAGAATGGCAAAGATGGGAAAAGGAAGAAGAAGATAGCTGGAAAACTAAGATCAGTCGAAAAGCTAAACGCAAAATGGCTACTAAAAAGGTTTCCTTCCATAGGAAGCTTGTTCAAGATTCTCCTATGCCTAAATCTTGCCCCAGAGAACTGTCTTCAGTGATCAAGATTGGTGATATCTTCTGTCCTTTTACAAGTTCTTCATCCAGAGTGTTTGGCCATAATTCTGTCTCTTGGGAACAGAATTAGAATTCTGAGCCATCATCCAGTCACTCTTATGAAGCCAAGACTTTGGATGTTTCAGTTCAAGGAGTCTTTCAAAATCTCAAAAGAGATCTTTGCATTAACAGCTACAGTCCCAAGTTGCCATCTCTCAGCCGCCAAAATAATTAATCGACGGGCATCCACCCCAATGTGAACGCTTCAACTTTTCCCCAAATCCTACCACTCGTTTCTGTTTCAAGTGCTTAAACCTGGAACATCTTGTTAAAGAATGTCGGGGGGAAATACGTTGCATTTATTGTTTCAATTATGGTCATCGGGCTCGGTTTTGTGCTAAGAGGAGATTGGCCCTCAAGTGCAACTAGGCTGTCAAGCCTGTTAAGCCCCCCTCGAGCAGCGACTTCAGTGAAGAAGATAGAGGGGTGAAGAATCATATTCAAGGGTCTCTTAGCCCTGATTGTGGTGTCCAGCCCCCCGGTCTCTCCCAAAACCTGAACCCTCGCATTCCCCCTACCAAGCGCACTCAAATAGCAGACCAACCGATGGGCCAACTAATTGTGTGCAACCCGAATCAAGACATCATGGAGGAGGACCAGGGCTCTGCAGCCAATGCTGCCTCGCCCTCCATTGCCTTTGTTTGTCAACCTGGGCAGATGATTGAAAGGGAGACCACTGCTGATGATCAGATAGTTAAGTAAGGCCCTTAGATGGTCGGTCGGACTGAGTTAGTGCAGAATCAGGTGGAAACTAATCAGACCCAAGCTGTTGTTGCTGCTAGCCGCATGTTGACTGTCAGTAGTCTGTTAAAAAATCAGATAGACAAGGTGCAAAGGGAGACAATCACAAACTTCATTGTTGATGGTTTGAAGCATTTGATCAGCCCCCAAGGGAATTCTGGTGATGCCGAGATCATGAGAAACATTGCTATCCCAAATTCTATCATACAAGTTGACCTTGCCGCCTTAGGGATCAAGTCCTTCAACATCAACATCAACATCCCTCCTCAGCAAGGTGCTCTCAATGCAACTTCTACTTCAAGGTGTACTCAGGTTACTCAAATTGCTGATAACTATCAGCTACCTCCAAACCTGCAAGCCTCACTCACCGTCTCTCAGATCAAAACTACACCCATTACCAGGGTGTACTATAGGAAAAAGTTCAAAGGCAAAGAAAGAGCTTCTGATGAACAGACTGTTACAGTGATGTCTAACCTTAATGCTCCACCAGTGTTTCTGCCCCTATTCTTGAACAACATGTACTCTTTCCCACTGAGGAGCATTTTTACTAGTTGGATGGTGTCCGCTTCTTCGTCTCTGGTGCAACAGCACCTATTCATACCTTGGAAAAACACGCAATACACACCTTCAGCTAGCCCACCAAGATTTGAACTCCTAGAAGAACAAAAATGGGGTGATCAACAACAATATGGTCATGACTCAAGAAGACAATCTCAGCAGTGCCAGCAGTAGGGATCTCAGAACAACCTACTCGAGAACAAAGAACACTTTCTTCAAACAACTACTCACCAGAAGAACCACACCCATCACTAAGGTCTACTATAGAAGGAAGTCCAAGGGCAGAATTAGAGAAGCTGCGCAACAATCAGTGCATGAAGACAATGTTTTTGCTGACTTCCGTGTGGGCTATGTACCAGTTGACCTACAACTCATCATAAATGAGAAAAGGTGCAGCAAGTGTGTCACAAGAAGGAGAAAGAGCAATGCCCCAATTTCTACACTGATGTTGAGAAGGAGCCTAAGGCTTAAAGATAAGTTAGATGGACACAAACCAGAAAGTGCTTCCTCTTCAAAAAGGCCAGTCACCATAAACAAGCTGAAAGGCAAGAAGGTGGCAGCTTAACCTGACTTGCTGAACAATATCTTACTCTCTCCTTTGTGTCAAGAAAATGAGTTCCTGGGCTCTCTGATATAACTAAATACAATGATTTTGGTGCTATCTTCCCTGAAATTCCAGTCCATGAAATCCAGAAAGTGGCAGCAGAGAAGTGCCGCATCGCTTCTTCGGAGGTGACAGCAGAGCTACTCCTTTCTTCAAGGCCTAATGAAGCAAGCTCCAATGGGAGTAGCGCCAAGGATATGCACTTAGTGACTAATGGATAATATCATCAATGCTAACAGCAGGGACACAAGCAGAAGTTGGAATATTAGAGGACTGAATTCTGAAGATAAATGTAATGCAATCAAAGAAAAAATAGAGGAAAGTGCATGCTCTATGAGCACTTTGACCATTCATATATAAAAAAGTTAGCTCCCAAGCGCTTCAACAAATTTGCTTACTCACCTTCAAAAGGAGCATCTGGAGGTATCTTGATCGGCTGGAATAGCTCAGTCTTTACTGGTGAAGTGGGCCAAATAAATAAATTTGCTCTCACAGTCAAGTTCACCTCAACCCATAATGGACAAATCTGGACCCTCACCTCTGTCTATGGTCCTTGTAATGGTCCTGCCAGAGATGAATTTGTAGAATGGCTCAACAATCTTCAAATTGATGCTGCTGATAACTAGATGTTGGCAGGAGATTTTAACTTCTACAGGTTAATCTCTGACAGAAATAGGGATGGTGGAAATATGAATGATATCATGATTTTTAATGAGATAATCAGTAACTTGGGGTTGCTAGAAATTCCTCTAAAAGGAAGAAATTTCACTTGGAGCAATATGCAGAGTGAACCGCTTCTAGAGCAAATTGATTGGGTCTTCACGTCCATCATAAGTGATTTTCCCAACACACTGCTCCTCCCATTGGCCAGGCCAACCTCTGACAACATCCCTTGCAAAATACAAATTGGCACTTTAATCCCAGAAGCTCAAGTCTTTAGGTTTGAAATTTTTTTGGTAAAGCATCTTGGTTTCTTTGATGTGGTGAAATCAGTTTGGAGTTCAAATGTCAATGCTACTAACAGTGCTACAAGATTTGTTGCTAAGCTCAAACTCCTAAGAGCTGCTCTAAAAAAATGGAGCAAAGGCCTGTCTAATCTAAATATTCTGATACAAAACTGCAATGAGGTCTTGGCTACCCTTGATGCCTTGGAGGAACAAAGACCTTTATTCACACAGGAATTCAACTTCAGGAAAATTCTAAAGGACCATATTCTCAGATTATTGAAATATAAAAATGAGTACCGGAAGAAAAGATACACCGTCAGATGGAGCAAATTCAGAGATGAAAACACTAGTTTTTTCCACGCTGCTGCAACTAAAAGGTATAGGCTGAACACCATAACCACGATTGAAGCTGATGATGGTAGGATTGTCTTTGATCACAATGAAAAAGCAGCTCTGCTCCTTGAAGAATATAAGAAAAGAATGGGGTGCACCTCAAACCCAGTGATGCTATATAACCTGAGTCAACTAGTGGTTACCAGAGAAGACCTTGAACATCTATCAAGGCCTTTCTCCACCCATGACATCGATACTGCTGTCAAGCGCATGCCAGCTGACAAAGCGCCAGGTCCGAATGGCTTTAATGGGTTCTTCCTGAAGAGCTACCGGGAAATATTAAAAGAAGATTTCTACACACTCTGCTTTGATTTCTTCAATGGCTCTTTGGACCTGCAGGCCATAAATAGCTCTTTCATTACCCTAATCCCCAAAACAAACAACCCAACAAGTGTGAATGACTTTAGGCCCATCTCGCTTTTAAATTGTGTCCTCAAAATTATTACTAAGTTGACGGCCAACAGGTTACAGTCAAAGATTATCTCCCTTATTCACAAGAACCAATACGGATTCATCAGAACAAGGACAATTCAGGATTGTCTTGCTTGGGCATATGAGTACATCTATCAATGCCAGCATTCTAAGAGAGAAATTGTTATTCTCAAGTTGGACTTCACAAAAGCTTTTGACACTGTGGAGCACAATGTGATCCTTCAAATGCTGAAACATCTTGGTTTTGATGATAAATGGTGTGACTGGACCCAAAGAATTCTAGCCTCTAAAACCTCTTCCATTCTCCTCAATGGGGTCCCTGGTAAACACTTTCATTGTAAACGTGGGGTCAGGCAAGGTGACCCCCCCCCCCCGCTCCTTTTTGTGCTGGCTACTGACTTACTACAATGCATTATCAACAGACGTCATAGAGGTGGATTGTTTGAGTTACCAATTCGTTCCTATGAAATGGCTAACTATATATCCTATAATCCAATATGCCGATGATACCATCTTGATCATGAAAGCATCACAACGTGAGCTCTTCACCCTCAAAGGGCTCCTTGAATCTTTTTCTCAATCTACTGGACTCAGGGTTAACTACAGAAAATCTTGTTTGGTGCCTCTAAACCTTTCCGCTGAAAAAGCACAGCAATTGGCTGGAGTCTTTGGCTGCAAGCTTGAATCACTTCCCTTCACATACCTTGGTCTCCCAATGGGTACCACCAAGCCCAGAGTTGAGCACTTCGGCTTTATCATGAATAAGGTTGAAAGAAGACTTACTGTTACGTCAAATCTGCTATCTCATGCTGGTAGGCTGCAGTTAGTAAACTCAGTTATCTCTTCCCTACCAACTTATGCCATGTGCACATTACAACTGCCAGTATGAGTCCTTGACTACATTGGCAGAGCTAGAAGACACTGTTTATGGAGAAGTTAACGCTAAAATGAAGCCACTAGTTGCATGGAAAAAATGTAGCAAGCCCAAAAGAAAGGGTGGGCTAGGCATTATCAACCTCAGAAGCCAAAACACTGCTCTCCTTCTCAAACACTTGGACAAGTTTTATAACAAAAAGGAAATCCCCTGGGTGAAACTAGTTTGGTTTGCTCATTATTCTGATGGTGAAATCCCCCATGCAACAACTGACAAGGGATCATTTTGGTGGAGGGATATTCTAAAATTATGTGATCTCTTCAGAGGTATTGCTGACTGCAGGATTGGAGATGGCTCCACTGTCCTTTTTTGGTCTGATCTCTGGAATGACAATGTTATGCAAGTTAAGTTCCCTAGCCTTTACTCTTTCGCCAGAAACAAGAGGATTTTAGTTTCGCAGTTCTTGCTAAATAACAGCCTGGAGTCTCAGTTTCATCTCTCCCTCTCTAAGCAAGCCTATCAGGAATTTCAAAGCCTCCAAGAATACATTCAAACAATCCAAGTACAGCAGGACTCAAAAGATTCTTGGCGATATATCTGGGGAAGCAACATCTATACATCGTCTAGTTTCTACAATTTTCCTTACAAAAACATTCAGCCCCCAGCCCCTTTTGTTTGGATTTGGGATTCCAAGTGTTGCAATAAGCTGAGAGTTTTCTCATGGCTTCTATTCATGGATAGGTTGAACACAAGAAACATTCTAATGAGGAAAAAACATAAGTTGGAAGCGAACAACTACAACTGTGTTCTTTGCACTAACAATGTGGAAGAAATTGCTTTTCATTTGTTCTTAGTTGTCCTTTCAGTAAAGAGTGTTGGCAGTATTTGGGTATCCAGTGGAACTATGCAAATGAATTCTTTCGGATGCTATTACAGGCAAAGCAGCATTTTCAGAGCCCTTTTTTCATGGAGATCTTCACCATCGCAGCCTGGCAAATTTAGAAGCAAAGAAATGACTTCGTCTTTGATAGAGGACGTCCCTCCTTTAGTTCTTGGAAGAGGCTATTCATGGAGGAAGCTAAACTGCAAGCTTTGAGATTCAGTGATGCTAAACGACCGGCTTTCTCTCTTTGTATAGACTCCCTAGCTTAGTTTCTTCTTCTTCCGTCATCCTTAGACCTGTTGCTCTTCCTGTTTTGGTGTCTGTTGTATAGTTGTACAGGCTTGTTCTTTTTTTATCTTTTTTATTTAATAAAAAAAAATCTTATAGTGGGGCTTCCCCTGCTGTATTCTCACTCAAAAAACCATGAGGCCAGACCGATTAGAAATTTTAATTGTAAATTTTGACCAGCTTCTCGATGGTTCTGCAGATAGTTGAAATCACCAGAAGAAAGTTAGGATTACATAACAGAACCTGAATATAAAATAGGTTATGAATGCTACAGTGAAGTACATAAAAATTCAATGGACATGTAACCGTGCATGCCACAGTTCAAAAATTGGTCTCACCAAATATCTGAAAACAATTCAAATGCCTTTCTTGGGTGGTGGAAAAATCTATACGTACGTGTCAAATTTCAATGGGGAAAAAGAAAAGTGGTCAAAAAAAGGTGTGTCAAATCTCAACGGTGAAAGAGAAATTTCAATTGGGGGAAAAGAAAAGATGTAAAAGAAGGGGGGAAATAAAAGTGGTAAGAAAAACGTGTCGGACAAAAAGAAACACGAGCCAGGCAGGGGTCGAACCAACATCCTTATCCTTAGGCTTCGGATCAGAGACTACACTAAGCTACAGGCGCATATGTGATGTACTTATAACTTATTAGCTTTGTAAAACAAATGTACAGCAACTTTCATTAGTACTAGTGTCAATAGTCAGCAACGCCAGTAGTATTAATTAACCAGATTACACAAGTCGTAAAAGTTGAGCAAACTTGTAGCAGAGATCTTAGTTAATGGGGCGGACTAAAAGCGGCATGCCAGCAACCAACATTTGGGTTTAACTTGGGCATGCACAGCCATGCACCGAACAATGCTAGCTACTTCCACTTCCACTTCACTGTCATGAATGAACAAACTCCACTGGAGTCAGTTACATCTATCTGCGATAGGTACGCACATGTCATGTCATCAGTAGTTCAGTCTTCCAAGTTATGTTTCACTTTGTAAAAGAACTCCATTGCCATGCATGAAGCTGTTGTTTGCTTAGTGGTGTTGGGGTTGATACAACCTCACTCACTGGCCTCCTCCGTGCCGGGATTCAGCATTTGTGAGCTTCCTGATCTTCCCCTACCGGAGAAGAAAGACACAACGTTAGCCGGTTTACGTGGTGAAAACGAGCGACGATGCAAGTGCTGCACCAATAAAATGTTGCAGTAGTGCAAGTAAGTCATCACAGGGAAATGCATGAAAAGATGTGTAACAGCGACTCCCTCTGTTCCCAAAAGAATGTAATTATAGGAAGCGTGCCGGTTAAACTAGTCCAAGTTTAACCAAGTTTATAGTAAATAATATTAATAGTTATGCCTTCAAATAAGTTTATTATGAAAATATATTCTATCACTAATTTAACGGTTTTTTTATCATGAATGTTAGTAGTTTTTTATATAAATTCAGTCAAAGTTTAAATGGCTTGACTTCTCGAAAAGCGAGAATTGCATTCTTTTGTGGACGGAGGGAGTACTAAGTAATTTGAGAACAAGTTATCAAATGGAGATGCATGAAAAGATGGGGTGGGAGCACTGACGGTGTTCGCCCACGCCAGGCCACAGGCGTTGCAGAAGTTCTTGGCGCCGTTTGGGCCACGCCGCATCTTGGGCATCACCTCGCTTCTCTCCCCGCAGTTGGTGCAGCTGCACACACAACGGAACAGATGGCGAACATGAACATGAACTCACAGTCACAGTGTACTGATTGCAATTGCAACTGCAGTATGTGAATTGCATGCATGGAAAGATCGGCCGACTAACGATTGAAGATGCTCAGCCGTCTCCCCAACTGAATTTTCAGAGCTCTTCTTAGACGACGGCGCAAATTTTCCTCCCCTTCGAGGGATCCTGAGCCAGCAAATGCATGCGTGCGCAAGAAATAAACAAACATTCAGCCTTATATCTCTCTGAAGTCTGGACAGGGGATAGACATGAAATAAACTGGATTTGATTGATACATATATATACCTTGAAGCGATTTCCCTTCGGACGGAGTAATCGGCCTTCACTGTGATCTTCCTTTTCTTCCGGTACCGCGAAATGGCCGCAGCCCTGTCGAAGTCTTGAGGCACGACAATAGGATGGACCTGCTGGTGCCAAATGCTCACATTATTATATATAGTTTATTTCGTCTGTTATGAGGAATTAAACTCCTACACCAACAAGGCTACAATGGAAATGGAATCTGGTTGATGCAAATTATCTCAAATAGTCTCAACTCAACCAGCATTATAGGCATAGAAGGTTTTGTAGGTTTTGCAATGCTTAGATTCGACGCGAAAAAGGAAAATAAAGCGTTGCGATCTAGTAGTAGTATCTAAACTCAAACATGCATTCACCAAAGATCATAGTGCAAGGTACTACAAGAACACAGGGACAGGGTTCTAACTACTGAAACACAAATACACAATGCCACCTTTAAAGCATATGACTGAACAATTCCAAGAAAACAAAGCATGCACATTGTCAAAGAACTTCCTTTAATTTATCAGAACAAAGAAAAAAAAACTCAGCCATGCATCTTGAGAATCGCAAAACCGCTTTGGTTCCCAAGAAGCCAAAACCAAAATAGGCAGCCCACTGCACCGCGCGATGCATGATCACCATGTTCTTGTTGTGCCCCCGGTACGTCATCGACAGCCCATCGTCCACACGGCCGCCGTCGCCTGCGGCCTGCGCCTCGGCCAGCCGTCGCTCGTCCTTCGCCTCCGCGCCCATTGCTGCCGTGCCGTACAAGCACCCATCGTCGTCGCCGAGACCCTGGAGCAAGTCCGGGGGGGTCACGATGTCGTCAAAGGGGTCCTCACCGCCTCCTGCTGCTCCTCCGGCCACCGTGCATGAGGGTGGTGGCGGCGGCGGCTCCATGGTTGAGTGGGAGTGCACTGGGAGCAGCAGCGCGGAAGCGAGGAGGCGACCGAGGGAGAACGCCCAAGTCCCAACGCGTGCTGCTTTCCCACTCTTTATAAACCAACGCATGCTGCACTGCACGCCGCCAGGTTATGGGCTTATGGCCCATAAGTTATGGGCCGTCGGGTCAGCAATCAACGGCCCATACTGCCAACCTGTACATAGGTGATTGTCTTTTTTGAAAGAAAAAAATGAGGGCGTGTGCAAAATAGTTTATTCATCGAGATGTTTTGTGCATGCGAGATTTTGGTTTACATTCAGAAAATGGCTATATGCTATTGTCTTTTCACCTACACTGCTACACATCCGGTACATTAGGCGCCTTGAGAATCCATGAAGTCGCGTATGACATTTTCAAGTCGTGTAAAGTCAATTATCTCATACTTTGACCGCCACATTTTGTTACAATATATCTATAAAATTTAGTTAATAAATACTTTAAATAAAATTTGTTTATACACTGGTGACATTTTCATATGTTTAAAATCAAAACATGCACGAAGAGTAACTTACAGTCATCAGATCGCTTTGGACAAACTCAAAACGCTATTTTCACTTGTGACTGGACTATGCTAGGTCGAAAAAGGACAAAGGAGACACCAAAATTAGTGACGCAGAATTAAAACGAGTTTCTAATGTGCTTTTGTTGGAACACTGAGACGATCAGTGTCGCACATTACTGGGAAAGGATCTGCTCCCTCAAATAAGTCAAGTGACTTTGTTAGTGTCTGAAGTTAACCATTGTAAACTTAATTAAAAATATTAAGTGTTGACTTTGCATACCTTTTTTTCTGAAAGTTTCAACGAGGACGAAAAGTTTCACCTGATATATTAACCACTGATGCTGATGTGGTCGGTAGTGGAGGGCAAAAAGCCCAGCAGGACTTTGCATACTTGGAAACGGTAGTACTGCAGTTTCTTCATGGCAGGTGCTATAACAAAATTTGTGGTTGAAGTTATGCTTTGGAGAAACTGTGGACGTTCAAAATGTCGATTCTTTACGGCACTACACCACAACCCTTAAACAGCGACTGATTTGGAGTTGCTAAAGGTTATAGCGACGTGAAGCCGTCGTTATATGTAAACAACAACGGACATCATCTTTAACAACGGACAGTTCAACGGTCCAACTTTAGCGACCGACAATATGTTAGAGCTTTTAGCGACCGACAGTCCAATGCTATAATAACTTTTAGCGACCAACAGTTCGACGGGCTCAATTGTAAACAGATAAAAAAAATAAAAGCTGGTCTGAAGGTATAGCTGATGATCAAACATTAGCCATACATTGATTCACGTACACAAAAGTGATGACATTCAAAAGTGATCACATTATCCATACATTGATTCATGTATTGAACAAGTACATTATACATGTAATGTCACTTAACATCAAACTAATCCTTGTTTGAAGTATCTGCTGATCAAAAACAAGGCTGATCCTAGCTGATGATCAAAAGTTTAGCATAGCTCATGTCCATGAAAACAAACAAGCTGTTGGCAGCATCCAAAAGTTCCTGAAAAAATGATAGAATCAGTAGTCTAATGAAGTACAAGTTCCAATGTACAACTTACAAGGGAGTGAGAAGACACAGTTTCACGAATATAAATCACATTCAGTTAGCCTCCAAAAATGAAACGTCCAGTGCTTACCCCTTAGTTGTTTGTGTTTTATTTTCACTATTCAAGACTTCACTAGTTGAGTTTATTGTTTCTCAGACTTTGATGACAGGCTCAGAGCAGACAACAAAGATAATGATTCAACAACACAAGCTGATAAGCTATCCTCTATTCAATCCACGCATCCAGTACTTGTAAATTCAACTTGTAGATCAATAAATTTAATTTGAACAGCAATGGATCGAGGAAGGGAGTAGCACTTGTCTGGTGTTGGCTGACTCATTTTAAGGTAGGCATGAAGATGGTCTGGCAAAAATGAGAATTTTTTCAATGAGCCCAAGACTTGTAAACATTGAATACATTGCCACACTTGCAGTAACCATCAAAGATTGAATTCTAACAGTACTCAGAACGCTGCGAGCTGTAGGAAGGTATAAATTTCACATCTGTTATCTGCATACGCATTTAAAAGATTCAGTATTTTTAATGAAAAATACAAAACAATAGAATCAAAGGAGCACCAATTTGTAAAGTAAACCTGTGGCTCCTGTCGAGGTGACCAACTGAGAAGGATTCCAAGATGTTGCTTCTCTTAGCTTTGCTGTTGTTGAATTGCTGGGCACCAGAATAAAAAGGTGTCCAGCTCTTGCTACTATAGTACTGCAAAGAGAGAAAATGAAATCGATCGAGCAAGCTACTACCACTATTCTGAAAATGAAAGGAGAGTTGAGCTGCTGTAGACTGACACACTGAAAAACAAATGAAAGGAGAACTGACATGAAATTGGAATAACTCGATCTATTTCACTATTTGACAAAATAAAGAACAAAATCCAATTCTGATTGACATGAAATTGGAATCACAACTTCGCTAGATCATGTACAATATATTTGACCAAAAACATCTAAAAAGATTGAGCCTTTTCGCTAAAAGATTGACCAAAAACACCCAATTTATCTGCAAGCAAATCACTCTGAACACTAAGCAGATCTAATCATTTTAGTACAAAACTGAATACTAACCTTTTAGCCATGGCAGGGGTGCACTGCCGCAGAAGACTTGGGGATGAGCGGCAAGGTGGAGTGTGGAGACTGTACTGGAGATGGAGAGCCCGCAGAGTGCTGATGTGCTTGCTGGATGCATGCCCGCGCCCGCCGCCCAGCTCCGAGTCCACCCACACATGTATCTGACCAAAAACTACATGTACTGGACACAATAGGCAACTACATCAGTTATTCCTACTGTTGAAGTTGAGCCTCCAGGATGTTCATTTAATCCTCCATTGGAAGCACATCAAGTATGTGTTACCATTTATTTAGGAGTACCAGATATGGGCAATGTACTCTATTCTGAGTTGTTAAAAATTGCTACTAATAGATACTCCTACATTTTTCAACGAATCAACGATGACAGTAACAGGAGGACCCTGCTGTTGCATTTGTTAAGAGGGAAAAGTCATTTCACTGAAGCAATAACCGAAGAAGATGTAAGTTTTATCTCCAAGACTTTACAGCTCTGTCATAAGTTTCTGCAATTTAGACATTGCCCTGTCGTACTATCTGTAACATATAGCACGCAAATGTGTCTTGTTTTCACTTGTCACTTTCTGCATAGCCCAAAATATATCATGGACTTGGACAGTGCTAATGAGGCTACAGTAATCATGCTGCCCAATTCATTGATATAAAATTAAATACTATACTTTCAGTTGCAACACCAAGCACACTTGGAACACACTGCTCATGCATCTCATAAACCGCATCTCGCAATAGACAAATTTAAAAATTCAATCTAGGTCTGTCCAACTCACCAGAGCCCATATCGGGGAAGGGGGCTGATGCAGCGGCGGCGGCATTGGCAGGAAGAATTCGCCGCTGCAGACCAGGTACCCCCACATTTTCCAACCAGGCCAATGACGCCGACTCCAGTTGCTCCCACCGGCCAGCCACGGAGAGGATGGATGCTGTGGCAGTGGCACCATGAGTGGAGCTCCTTCAGATGGATGCTGTGACATCCTGAAGATCCGCACGGAGGTCAGAGGCAGTCAAAGACGGGGATCAAGGGCAGCTGGATGCCACGCTTACTGGGAACGGATGTCCGAGAGGCGCACGGACGAGGAGGACGAGGATGTGATACCTGGCTGCCGGTGCGGAGGGAGCGGGGGTGAGGAGAGGGGAGACCGAATGGAGTAGGCTGCCGCCACCGCGAGTGGCGCCGCCCCGCGTGGGGGTGGAGAGGACGCCGCCGCCAGTGACGAAGGGGAGCGGCATGGCAGCGGATCCACGAGGGGAGGGTGCCTACCGCCGACGCCGTCCGTGGGATTTGGCTGGGGATCAACATTGCGCCGCCGGACGTGAGGAGCAGGGAGCGCAGCCGGAGGTGAGGGGCAGGGAGCGCCGCGCCAGAGGTGTGAGGCACGGGGTCGTGGCGGTGTGAGAGGGAAAATTTGGGGCAGGCAATGTTTTGGCAATGTTATAAAAGATCTATAGACGAAAAATTGGGCCAGCTTTTTGACCGTGCGGAAGCAGTGTGAAAATATATACAAGCGACAGATAGATATGATTAAATATCAGAAAAATAGCGACAGAATTAATGAAAATAAAATAAAATATGAAAATTATAGATCCGACGAGATCTTCAACTTTCTAGTTTTGAGTTTTTTCATTTGAAGTCATTAAGATGCTCAAAAAAATTAATAACATATTTGAACTTAAGGGCATTTTCGTCTTTTCACACTGTAGTTTGATTTTGCTAGACCGAATCGATTTTAAGTGGCATGGAGGATCCGAAAAAAGTTGAAGTAGTGGTGAATTTTTCCAAAAAGCACAGAGGGGATTAGGATCTTTATAATGGCACCGAAAAGTCTCCAATGTTTTCCAACTCTATAGACGCAAAATTTGACCGTATGCAAGGAAGCCCAATATATACAGAGCGACAAATAGTTGGATACAAATATCAGCCTTTAGCGACCGATCCTCCGACGATAAAGCAAAATAAAAATAGCGACCGACGTTCGGTTGGAGAAACAAAAAATAACAACCCACCATCTATTACAAATTTTTAGCGACCGACCGTCCATTGATATTTGAGGGAATTTCTTGTGAGCCATTAAAAAATATCATAATTCTCTGTGAGCCACTGAAAAAGTTCAGCGGACTTCAGCGCCACTACTCTAACTTTTTTTGCCCTCCATACCACTGCCGTCAGATTGGGCTTTAATGGTGTCAAACTGCAGGTGTGAAAAGTCGAAAATACCCTTAGGTCTAAATATGTCATTATTTTTTTTAGTATCTTAACGACTTCAAATGAAAAAACTCAAAACTAAAAAGTTGTATATC